AGACTCCATCTCAAAAAAAAAAAAAAGAGACACCAGGGATCTATGTACACAGAGGAAAGGGACAGGAAGAAGGCCGTCATCTGCAAGACAAGTATTGGGGCCTCAGGAAAAACCAGCCCTGCCAATACTGTGGTATTAGACCTCCGGCCTCCAGAACTGTAAGAAAATCAATGTCTGTTGTTTAAGCCACCCAGTCCATGGTATTTCGTTATGGCAGCTCTTACAAACTAAGACACAAACTTAAATGGGTATTCTATAGGGACAGATATATATACAAGGAAGATAGACATTCTTTTATCAAAGTGGACTTCACTTTTTAAAATATACTAACGTTGTGTACTAACATTGTAAAATATAATTTTAAATATTTTTTTGCAAAGCGGAAAGCATAGTTCCAGTATCATCTACGTAACCTGTTTCTGATTCTTGCCTGACTCCCACAGCCCGCATTAAGGTTAAGCGCCCACTGCCTCCTTAGTTCCCAGGTTTCCGAACACACCTTCTTCTTCATCCCCCGTTGAGCTGGTTGTAATCACGGTTTACAAGTCTGTCTCCCTGGATGGACCGTAAGACCTTGGGGGCCAGGGCACTGTTGTTAGATTTTTAATTATTTTATTTATTTACTTTTTGAGGCAGGGTCTCACTCTGTCACCCAGGCTGGAGTGTAGTGGCATGATCTTGGCTCACTGCAACCTCCACCTCCCAGGTTCAAGCGATTCTCCTGCCTCAGCTTCCTGAGTAGCTGGGACTGCAGGCGCGCACCACTGTGCCCAACTAATTTTAGTATTTTTAGTGGAGACAAGGTTTCACCGTGTTGGCCAGGCTGGTCTCAAACTCCTGATCTCAGGTGATCTGCCTGCCTCAGCCTCCCAAAGTGCTTGGATTACAGGCATGAGCCACTGCACCTGGCCTAGATTCTCAAATCACATTTGCACAGATCTTTTTTTCATAGTAAGGAGTAGTTATGGGTTCCAGGGACTAGGACCAGGTATCTTTGGGTGGTCACCACTCAGCCCTATTATACCTATAGCAACATCATCATAGCAAGAGATTGGAAACATCCCACACGGCCATCAGAGGGGCCCGCATGAATATGATACATCCACACAGTGGAGCACTCTGCGGCCCTTAAGAGGAACAAGGCCATCGTATGTATACTAACTGGGGAGAAAAAATGCAAAGCACAAAATTGTGTTTATACATTCCACCATTTTATTTATTTATGTATTTATAAAATTTATTTTATTTTTTTGAGACGGTCTCGCTCTGGAGTGTAGTGTTTCGATCTCCGCTCACTGCTATCTCCGCCTCCCTGATTTTAAAAGATGAGTGAAAGATGTGCCATGGTTTCCTCTACAGAATGTTCAGACCAGAGAGCCCTGGAAGACCATGCCTGAAATGCGGCTAAGGCACCACGAGGCTGAACAGACAACGGGGGCCTTATCAGAGAGAAGAGAAGGGCCGTATAGTCCAAACGCCCAGGAGGCTCCGACCTGACCTGTGGCTGCACGTGTGTGCTGCAGGGCGAGAATCTGGGGAAGACTCAGTGAAGAAAATGTCCTGGGCAGGCCGGGAAGAGCAACACACAGAGAACCACAGCAGAGAGAGGGATGGGGGGACCCTGCCCTGGGAGCCGCTCCGGCTGAGGCTCAGGAGGGGAGCTGCAAAGCCTGAAACACATCGATGATGGCTGGTGATGAAAACAGGTGGACCCTACTTTGATGGCAAGATGGACAGATCTGAGCTCACACATCCTCGGGATAAAAAATACAGCTCTGTGGAAATGGACATGAGACACTGGGCATGAGCCCTCATTCCCCAACTTGTAGAGATGACTGACAAAGGCTTCCAGAAACTCGAGGACATCACAGCTTCCAGCTGGGTCAAACTTCTCAGGGTGCTCTGAGGACTGGGCAGAGAGACCCCCGGGTGTCCCAGCGATGGCAGAGTCTCTAGAGGGTGGAGACACCATGAAGTTGGGGATGGAACCTGCCTGCCCCACGGAGAGGGGAGGGACGGCCGTCCAGGTCTCAACCTGCAAACAAAACCCATGTGGCACCTGAGAGGAG